CCCCAAAACCCCAAAACCCCTCAATTCGATTTTATTAAAATATTTAAAAATAATAAATAATTAATTAGTGTTCCAAAAATCTAGGCTGGTGAAACTAAAGATTAAAATCAAGCTTTGACTCTTTTGGCAAGATTCTGTCCAGGACTCTATTTACTCTTTGAATCAATTTCAGTAAATAAATTATCGCTCATACCTCTTTCTCTTTACTTTCTCTTTTTCTTTAGGTTAAGTAGCTATTATATCTACTTAGTATCTTTTTACTGATATGCTGCATTCTATTTCTTTTCGCTATTTTACTTATCTTACTGCTTTGCAGATTATTTTTATTACTCAACCAGCAAATCATCCTGAAGAGTCATTTGAGAAAGAATATATTGAGGATAGAATGCTTTTTTTAAGCCTCTCTCTGCTCTATCAAGATGCTTTTAAGAATAAAAATCTGTGATCTTAAGAATTTCCTTAAGTTCATTTTGATTGGTTTTAAATTCTTCCAAGTAGTCATCTGCTCTGAATCTTGGTAATATTGTATACAGAATGTGTTGAGCTAGACCTTAATATTATGACTTTGAATTTAGATTTCTAATTATTTCCAATAATCTCTTTTTATCTTCTTTCAAGAGCTTCGCCAAAATCTAGGTCATTAAAGTCTCGCCTTAAATTTATTAAGATTTTTCTTATTAGTTTTACTGCCCACTCTATAATGAGTTAAGAATTTTCCTATCAGTCAATACCGAATCAACCATATCAATCTTGCTGGATTTGCCAGAAATAACTTTATTCATTACTAAGTAAAAATCTCTCAATCTATTTAATCTAAATGCCATCACAGCTGCTTCTTAGAAATCTTCTTCTCTAATCAACTTAGATAATCTCTACTCATCTTAAACTTTCTGAAGTTCTTTTTCTTTTTCCTCCTATTCCTTTTCTACTGTGCAATCTTTCCAAATCTTTACAGTGGAATCTCCTCCTCCAGTAACCATAAACTTTTCATTTGAGTCTAAAGCCCAAATTTTTTCCTCATGCATTTAAATTGTATTCACACAGATTTACTTCTTGAGATTCCAAATCTTGACAACTCCATCTACTGAGGTTGATACAATTTACATTCCAAGATTAATCCAAGATATTTTAACTAGAGAATTTTAATGACCTTGGAATGTGCTGATGCATGTTCCATTTTGCAGATTCCAAACTTTTAATGTCTTGTCTCCAGAAGCAGATACAAGTAACTTATCCACTGGGGAAAATGCAATATCCCACACTCCTTTCTTATGGCCTGAAAGTGTTTATTAAAGCATTAGATCATATGAACCCCAAATCTTTATAGTTTTATCCTGACTTGAGGATGCAATTAATTTGTCATTTGGACTCACTTTCACCACGTTGATATATTTCTGATGACCCATTACTGTCAAAAGGGCTGATGTAATCTCTTAAATATCTTCACCATCACAAGTCTTCTTAAATTCCTGAATATCCCATATCTTAATAGTATTATCCTAGCTAGCAGATACAAAGAAATTAGATTTCTTCGGTGCAAAGCATACGCTAGCAATATTTTCAGTATGACCACTGAAGGTAGCTAAGCATTTTAGCTCATGATTCTCTTGATTTATCTTCCAAAGTCTAATCTAATTATCCTTAGAACCTGATAAGATTAAATCTCTGCTTACATCAAGACATAAGATAATATCATTATGGCCCCCATATTAACTTACTTATCCATCTTAAAGGTTTATAATTTTAAGAGTCTCATTGTTTGAACATAAAACTGCATACTAAGGTTCACTTTGATCTCCTTCAATATCACTTTTCTTCCCTAATAGCTTAAGATCGATAATTTCATCTAGATATAGGCACTTGCTAACTAGAGATTTCAATTGAGGCTTATTGCTAGAACTACTCTTTTTAGTTTTATTTGTTATTTGGTATATGTTGAAATTTTAATCAGCATTAAGGACATAAATTTTAGAGCTATTTTCGCTAGATATGATCTTTGTGATTTCAGACTTCAAAGTATTATCATGCAAAGAGTAGCAAAATTTCTATGCCTTTATATCGTAGATCTTAAGAATTCCGTTTTATCCTCCAATTAAAATGTAAGGCTCAGAGCCACTCTTAAACATATAAATGGCATTTAATTCCTCAATCTCATCAGGGTTTTCATCAGACTTTACTTTAATTGATGATAGTAATTTATAGTTATCTTTGACATTCCAAAAGGAAACTGATCCATCCTTTGAAGACGCTGCCAAAGTATTCATATCTGTAGAGAAGATTATATTGGTAATAAGTGCCTAATGAAACTTGAGGTTTGCTATCTCAGTTTTCATGACTAAATCCCATACTTTAATAGTCAAGTCTTCTGCAGTTGAAATAAGTCTGAGAGAATCGATCTCAGGATGAAATATAAGATTTGTAATAATACCTCTGTGACCTGTTAAATTATGCGTCTAGAAACCTTTTCTCACATCGAAAACCTTAATATGGCTATCAGCAGTACCAGCAGCTAAAAATTTACTACTTGGGTCAAAGTTCATTTCGAGGACCATTTGATTGATAGTCTTGAAAGTGCTTAGCTCCTCAAGCTAGCTGAAATTTTCAATACTTTCTGGAACCTTATAAAGCCTTATTAGATAATTTTTGTTTGAAATAGCTAGTAATTGCTAGTTTGGAGAAATTGCAAAAGTCAAAATGTCTTCATTTTCCTAAGCAATTGATTATTATCATTGATAATTTACCTGAGATAGAGAGGCCAATACTTTTGAAGTTTCAATACTAAATAAGCAAATCTTTCCATCTCTGAGAGAGAGGGCATGTTACTCATCTTTCAATATTTTGAATTGACCTCCAGTATATAGTGGCTAAAAGTCTCTGTGCAAATCATAGTGCTTAGTCAGTCTGATTTTATCTTATAACTCTATTAAATTATCGTCCTCCATGTAGTATTTATTGATTTATATATTTGATAATGATTATACTTAAAAGTCTTATGGGGTTTTGGGGTTTTGGGGTTTTGGGGTTTTGGGG